AAGCCGGCAGGGGAAGGGGAGCGAGTTTACCCCGCTCCTATAGCACCGGAGGGGCCCCAGGCTTGAGCTTCTTAGCAGGAGTGCTGCCGAAAACAAAGCCGAGAAAGCAAGACGGTTTGGGGCAACCAAAAATATCAAATCAGTGCCACAGGCTCAGACATCATACCTACTAAATGGGTAAATCTTGAGGCTTTACTCCCCAGGGGATTGGCAGCAGAGCTGCAGCAATGAAATTGTACCTCCCTCCATGCCCACTCTGCCAGGGAGACCCTCCACACCCTTGCGCAGGGCCACCTTCCGAGTGGCTTTTCCGAAGTGACTTTATTCTGTTTTATTTCTGTGCCTGAGCCACATGCCACAGAAAACAGCTCATCGATGCCGTGGGATCACGACAGCCTTTCCAGTAGCTGTCGTGACCCAAGGGAACCACTGCTGAATCTGGGACACAGCAACTTCTCCCAGCAACATGGGCCTACGGGGACTGATCCAGCCAAGGTGCCAGATTTACATGTCTCCCTAAACTTGTCCAGACCTAGAGGCAGTGGGGAGAGATGGGGACCCTGACAGTGATCTGATCCCGCTTACAACAGAGGTCTGAAATAGGCAGAGTGGGCATCTTCTGGCGACATACCCTTCTCCGCTGATTACAGCAGCAGCCTAGGCGACTAGGCTAGATGAGGCACCTGACTACCAGCGTGCCTGAAGTTGGGCAAGATGAATCCAACCCAAACAAAGTTTCAGAATTTGTTGAAGAGTTTGGTAGAGTTGGAAACTATTCATACATATTAGTAAAATTAAGTTAATTCTTTAGAAACAGGTAATTTGATTAGCATCTTGATGACCAATGACTAATTCCAGTTGGAATGACAAATCATGACTCTGATCATATCTTATTTTTACTTTAATTTGAAGGTAAAATAACAATCACCCAAGTAAGAACATGAGACATACTGACAGAAAGCTTTAAGACATATTCTAAAATTATATCATACATATACTACTGTAAATGTAGTTGTTAATGTATATAGTTATCATATGCAGTTGTTGGCCTAATAATAATCCAGAAGATTCTGAAAAACAATATTTAGTTCACAAGAGCAAAGCCAGAAATAGTTTTCATCACTCCAGAAACAGAATCTCAACATTATCTAAAAAAAACCCTAGCAAATAAATGGCTCTTGCGATGTGCGAGGAAGCTCACCGGACTATGTCCATTTCGAGCCATGGAAGCAAAGAAATTTCCAGAGCTCTTAACATCAAGAGATATTTTGACATCTTCATGACTCCATAGTGCACTGGCCACAAACCTTACAGCAAGATTATAGGCTGCCTTTTATCCCATACTGAGTGAAGAATTTTAATGTGTGTGAATAATTTTCCATGCCACAGCCAGCAACTCTAGCTCCTACTTTCAGCAGATCTGTGCACAGGGTGACATCACGTCTTACAAAGTGGCCTCACTGCATCCATGCACTCTGTCCCCCCACCAGTAGCACTCCTGCCCATTCGGTACTCACGTTGTCCTCACGTTGGCTCAACAGAAGCAGCTGATGTGACAGCCTGATACCTGTGACACTGCAAATGCCCTAGAGAGCAACTGTGCTCTGGCTCCATCACTTTCCCTTTGCCACGCTGAATCCAGTAAGCTGCCTAATCCAAAGCTTGCATTGATCCAGTTTATCAGCTTTTATGGGGTGTAGGGGACGAGCAGTGACAGCACCGGAGACTGAAGCATCTGGGAAGGTGTGCCACAGCGACAGCTCTTACCAGCTTCAGCCTGATTCTGCCACAACCATCTCCCACCGGCTCACAGGACTGGGGGTGACTTTCTCACCGTTAAACTCTTTCACCGCTTACAACTGAGATTGCTTCTCTCCCACTAGCACCACTATTTTTATACTATCAATCTTCAAGGCAGTTCAAAGAAAGAGGAATAAGCTAACAGACTAGCAAGCAGAGCAAGATAAATGTGAAGTCTGGTATCTACATGCTCACTTGGGCTATAAGGAGGCAACGACATTCCCCCATCACGGGTATGTCTATATTGCTTGATGCAGCAGTATGTCACGCTGCCACGTCTTGGCACAGACCACCACTCAGGCAGTCGGCTGTCGACATCTCCAGAAACCCTGGCCGAATGCTTGCTCTTCTCCTAGTGATGAGGTACAAGCAGTAAGCTGCTCCCTCCAAGGAAACGATTAACGAATCATACCTGCTAAGTCCCTCTACAAAATGCTGGGTCTGGAGCAACAGCTCCCCACAAAAATAAGGTACGGACCACACTAACAGTCAGTTTGCTTCGCAGCATGAGGATTGAGGGAGGCCCTCTCTCTTTGTGCAGGAAGAGGAATCAAATTCGCTTCCCATACAAGACAGCAGCTCCTGCAACTGCAGGCTGCTTGGCAGGGTCTGGGGAGAGGTTTTCTTCCCCACCGCACTATGACCCCAATCGACTCATCTGTTGTGTCTTACCTTTGGATGAAGTAGCATTTTCCAGCTTGTGCTGAGTTTGGACTTATGCTCCCACTCTGAGGGGCCTAAAAGTTGATCAAATGTCAAACCTTACCACTCTCGCTGCACCTCCAGAATAACACTTCTTTCCATCCAGTTCTAGCATTTAATTTGGGAAACCCAAAACACTGAACTCAAAATTTTAATCACCCTGCTTTCCACAGTGCCTATTTCTGTAACAGTACTGAGGCAATGCTCAGCTCCAGGCGTGTGCTTATGCCCCATTTCATCATTTAAGATGAAGCATACACTTCAGAGCTTTCTTGATCCGGAAACTTTTATGTTTGGAGCCATTTCTTATAAAAATTTCCTCTCTCTTCTTCTGTTTTGAAACACTGAAAATCCATAAAGGCTCATCCAGTTCCTACCATAAAACATATATTAAGCTTAAATAACATAGATAAAACATACTTTGGATACATAACATAATCATTGGTATAATCTCAATGCAACAAATATACTGGCATTTTTAAATTGATGAAACAAACCCTATACCTAAAGTTACAGACATATACAGGCTCCGGTGTATCAGTGAGACTGAGTATCCCTGGGTCTCAGTGATCTTAATGGGTGTTTTACAAGTGGTATCCAGAGTCAAGGTCTCCTGCACCTTTGATGACGCCTGTTGATGATTACTCCACATGGATGCTTGCCCAGCGTTGCTGTCCTCGCACAAAGCAGGCAGGCATTTGTATTCTGGCAAATGGCAGAGCTGCACTTTCCACAAGCAGCTTTAGGATGGGCTATAAAGGTGAACAAGAAGGCGGCAAGGGTAGTTGGAAAAAAATGAGTAAGACTCTGAAGAGCTGATGAAGAAAGTCAGGAAGAACTGAATGGTGTTAAAGAATGCAGCCTGGGAGAGAGAGCAGAAAGACACAGGCATAGCTCAGGTATGGCAGCACTTAAATATCCATATTTTTTCTTTGCCAAATATTATGGGCTTGCAGATGTGCAACTCCTAGTTACAGTACAGCTAAGCAATCAAGAGCTTGAAGAGTATTTAACTACATACAGAGAGAAACATGGCCGTTTCAAAGCTCTGAGCAGGTATCAATGCCAGGTACAGCACCAATGGGAAAAAAGTAAAAAGGAACACGACAGTCAAATTTTGCCTACGTTTTAGTGTCATGACATTTAAAGATTCAATAGACAGCTGTTTAGACTACAAATTTCAGACCACACTAAGAACGGAAAGACTTCCAAGATATCAACATATTAAAAGTAAGATGATACTGTTCTACAAGCAGCATAAATGTGAAAGAAAATTCAAGTCATTTATTAATGGTAATATATACAATTGCATTAAACAAGGGCATGATATTTGCCTTAATTAAAACAAAATCTACTGTGATTGACTTTGGATAGAATATATTTATAGTATGCTTTCTGTGGTAGGCATGGAATTAAAGCTGTTCTTTATTATTACAGATACACATAATGTCATTTTCTCACTGCAACAAAGTAAAGTTATGTGCATCAGTGACCCTAAACTAACATTCCGTAATAGCCCATTAATAGTCCTTGTTTTAAATACAAGAACAAGATCGATCTCCTAGTAGAGAGAAAGTGTTAAAAATTGGAGCCCTAGGAAGAAAAGATTTATGTAGTACTAGAGACCTGGAAATGGCAGATTTTATCAGCTGATGTTGCCTGTGCTCTTGCAGTTAAAATGTCTCACTAAAGGTTTCCATAGCTGAGCAAACCTTCCAGAAATGCTGAATCTTTAGGACTGGAAGTTCAGTCAGATAAGCAGTGTATAATTATTCAGTAGTCACATGAATTTATCTGAACCTATTTGGACAGAAAATGGGGCTGTTAATCTCACAAAATCAGGCTCTCACACACTTTACAGTATTGCCGATTTCAGCCTGCTTAGCAATACTTTCA